TGCGGGGGCCGCCCGGCTGGGTGCAGGCAGGGGTCTGCCCCACAGTGGGGGGCAGGTGGGGGGCTGCCCCATGGCGCCCAGAGCTAGAGGCCAAGGGAGAAGGTGCCCGAGTCGGTGGACTGCTTGTCTCGGCTGCAGCCCCCCAGCACCCCAGAGGGACACGCCGTGGGGCTGGTGGGGGGCGCAGGCATGCCAGCCTCTGGCACCTGTGGGGCAGGGGATGGGTGCCGGGTTAGTTGCTGCCCCATAGCCAGGGCAGCCAGGGGGGCTCAGGGGCACTGCCTGCAGGTCCCCCCTGGCCAGCCCCACACATCTTCCAGTGTGGCTTGATCCAGCCCCCACCCTGAGGTGACCCCGCTCTGGCCCCAGCCCCACGGCGGCCCCAGCCCCATGGCTGACCTCCTCGAACTTGCGGGCCTTGTAGTGCTCGGCTCCCTTCAGGAAGTTGAGCAGGATGATATCGCACAGCACTGTGCCCTGGGGGCGACAGCGTTGGGGTGGGGGTGTCCCACGTTATGGGGCACCCCCTGACACCCCACAGCCCATCATGGAGCCAGGCTGCCATCACCCTGGGGCTTTGCCATGTCCCCATGCCCCACGGCTATAAGGTTTTCCTCCATCCCCCTCCCAATCGCTATGGGGTATCATAGCCCTCCCTGCCCCACATCTGTGGGGCGCACAGGGCCTCTCCCAAGCTCCCCACCCCCAGGGAGATGCTGTCACACAGGGTCTGAGAACGGCCACAACTCACCACGCCGATGGAGGTGAAAGCAGCCACTGTGTTGATGAGGGTGGGGACAATGCCAAACTTCCCAGCCTGGGGGTGCAGAGACCCCCGTTGGTGGGGGGGTCCCCCCTCCCCATGGCCCCCATAGGGTCCCCAGGGAGGCCCCGAGCGCTGCACATACATTGCCGTACACCAGGACGTCGAAGCGGATGCCGAAGGCCTTGGTGAGGGTGCGGCGCTCAGTGCCGTCCGGCCAGCGGTAGTACCTGGCGTGCCTGCGCGGGGACGTGGGGGACAGGGGCCGTGCCAGGCTGCGCACACACATGTGACATGCGTGTCCCCATGCGGTGGCGTGTGCCGTACCTGAAGTTGTAGCCGGGGGCTGGGGCGGGGGGTCGGGCAAGGCCATCCAGGCGGGTGAAGGAGTAGTGGGGCAGGCAGCGCTCCCAGGCACGGTCCAGGTCGCACACCCACCCGATCTTGATGCCCAGCACCCCCCCCTGCCCCAGCCCTCAGGGTCAGCTGTGAGCTGTGGCCCCGGACCCGTGTCCCCACGTCCCCATGCCCTGCATCCCACATCCCCGTGTCCCCATGTCCCACATACCAGCATCCCCACATCCCCATGCCTGCATCCCACATCCCTGCAGGCCCACATCCCCGTGTCCCCACACCCCGTCCCATGTCCCCATACCTGTACGTCCCACATCCCCACATCCCAAACCCCATGTGCCC